AAAAAAAAAAAAAAAAAAAAAAAAGGGTCGGGGCACGAAACGACACTTTCTTACAATCCGACGGCGATCACGTTTAGATATTAGTGCGCATCGACACCCGCCGTCTACCCGGCCTCGTAGGCCCGCTCTCTCGTTTAGTGGAGCGCTGTGAACAATTCGGTACGCGCGCCACTCTACACAACGCCCCTCCCTCGATCGCCTTCATCTGTCGGCCCGAATCAAAACTTCGGGCCGATTTCGGCGCGCTGCGGAACACGACCTCCCCTTCGCGGGCCCACCGCGCTTAAGGGGTACGATAAATATTTTTTACCAATTATTTAATTCAGAAAAAATATGGTGCGGAACACGACCTCCCCCCCGCGGCGCGGACCAGGTCGGACGCGGACGGTGTCGCGCCTCTACCGTTTCAGGGTCTGGTTCGATGTCCCTCCCCAGCCGAGTGCAGTGGGTTGGTGGACTGGCAGGCTGTCACACAGAATTTTGGAAAGTTTTAGGAAAATTAGAAGTGAACTCACAAGCAGCCTTTGTCACAGAGTCGAGTAGTTAGGGTTATCCCTCCTGCCAGCGGCGACACGGCTTAGAGTGAGGCGTTCGGTTTTATCGCCTGCACCTGACGCCGTATAAAGGCTAGACTCAAGGTTACCGGAGTCCCTATTATCCAGGAGTCCTTCAAGTAGCCTTGAGCGTAACCCGCTATGATACGGAGTGATAGTTAATTTATTATCTCATGCATAATTGTTCCATGCATTACTGAACATGCATCATAAATCAAATGACACTGAGAGGACGGAAAGACCAGAAACCAGGCTCTGCAAGATCATGACTAGAGACACGAGACTGAAGAGTAATACACAGGGAATGCAGAAAGCAGCCATAAAAAGGGACTGCAGTCACTAATAAATCATAATAATATGATAAATACATCTCAGTGACTAAAAGATACGAGCCTCAGTCATTAACAACAAGTGGTACCCCCTCATGAGTGGGCTCGACTGCCTGGGACTCCATATCTGGTACACGCTGGTCCTCCTCATCATTGAGAACCTGAGTGGCTATAGACTCCGGGACCACATAACTGATGTCAAAAGATGCCGCTGGATCGATCTTGCTAATATAAGTCATGCATCTCGCCATCTCCTCGTCCGCGACACTCCGGAGGTACAACTCCTCGGCAAGGAAAATGTTGCCAGTGACACCAATCAAGATCTTAGTCCGTCCCTTGCCATAGAGGTAATCATAAGAAACCTCCGAAAAAACGGTCTCCATAGAGTGGCTTCCCAAAAACATGTATAACGAAGTCTACTCCCACCAAGTGACTGTAACCATCTCCAAGATATGGGACTGGTCCCCTCCCCCTTGAAGGGCCGACTACCTCCTCTGACCTGGGTCCTCCTGACATGTAATGCCTGGATCAATCACCCTCAAGCAAGTATCGTGCCAAGAGATAAGCAACCCGTCGTAGGGCTGCCTTCCGCCAGCGTCTCGCTCCAATGACCAATGTCATAAGATGCTCTGGATCTGCTCCAATCTCAAGCGTACTCAGTCCCTATGAGTATCTCAGTCAAAATAGTCCCCAAAATCAACGTCGCTCTCACAGCAAGGCTCTTGGTCTGACTCATCTATCTCTGACCTCTGTAGACAGGTGGTAATAGGTATCCCGGATCTGGCCACCTCGCTCCTAATCCTTTTGTCCTGATGCCTCTTCTCCTTGCTGCGACCTCTGCTCAGTGGTTTTGGATTACAGCCATCGAAATCGAAGAGAGCACCACCTGGTGCAAAGGGGACCCGGGGAAACACATGTAACCAGTGCTCCCTCCAGTAACTCTCCCTGCGGAAGATATAGTCAGCAATCCTGCCATAGGTGGCTCCCTTTATTCCCTGCCCAGCATCTCTCACGTGATAAGTAATCACCAACGTGTATCTCGATGTGGGAGACTCATTGGCCCTGATGACGAAGCTCTGATGTCCAATGTGTCGATAGCAGAACTTCTCAACCAGCTTACCCCATGTAGGGGTTGTCTTATGTTGAGGAGCCAGCTTGACCGATCTGCACCTGACAAGTGGTCATGCCAAGCAATGATGTCTTGGTGATAAAAGGGGTACCAGCAACTCACGAAAATAACCCAACTCGATGGGATCAGCAATCAACTCAGCATGGAGACCCACCCGAATGGGTCTGGCTGAATGACAATAACTCGATATAGGGGCCCGCTTGAAATGGGCCCGGCTGAAACAGCAACAACTCGATGTAGGGGCCCGCCTGAATGGGCCCGCCTGAAACAGCAACAACTCGATACAGGGGCCCGCCTGAATGGGCCCGCCTGAAAC